AAAATAATATATCAAAAATTTATAAAAATTGATTTTTAATTTTTATACATTTACTTATATTTGATTCTACTAGATACATATTTATAGTTATAGACATATATCTTATTAGATAAAAACATAACTAAAAACATAACTAATGGAATATATTTCAGATATCAGAAAAAGAAATTTTCCTTCCGTTTATCATCTTCGCAAGAACATTATAATTACTCACTGCGTAAATAAGCAGTTATAGAAAACCGCGTATCGTCGTGTCGATTAAGAAATAATCTCTACGTGACAATATTTCAATCAAAGTGAAATTTCGCGCAGAAAAAAAAACAGGTTGTCCTTCGCGATTGTGGGCCGTTTGTGAAAGTAAGTTTCGGGATTACTAAGCTTACGGATAGTGAATCGAACAATAGCGATATAGTTTACATATATTACCATAAGTAGCGTCTCGCTAAAAACAGATCAATGCCAAATGCGTAAGAATGGATAATTAAAATTACAATTATAATTCATGGAACACACAGTGATTTTTAAGAAATACAAAAATAAAATATAAAAGAACAAATTAAACTTTAAATGTTCACGATTCAGAAATAAAACAATCAAACAAAAAGAAATAGGAAAAATTAAAGAACATTGAATTTTCAATTAAATAAATATATTAAATTAAATAAATTTACAATTAAATAATTTACGATTAAAAAGACATTAATTATAGAGAAAAAGCATATAAAAACTTGTTAATGTGCTAGGTAAAAAAACAATGAGGAAAAAGATCTAGTTAGAAAGTGATGAGTTCCGTCGAACGCTTTTTATCCGAAAGGAACGGATGTAAAAGACTCTTATTACACTTCGTCGTAATTTCACTGGCTAGATAGAAAAGGAACGCTTTGGTCGCTTTGGATCCATCTGGAGAGAGTGAGAACAGGTCAAAGAGAGTGGTCTCAGATGCTGATATTTCTGTTCCTCATCAGTAGTTAACCGCGTGTCGCGGTGCTCTATTCATTGATCCGTCGAACGTGACCACAAATCGTGATATATGAGTTCTACCGCGCGAATTTCTCAGACAATCAAATTTCGAATTAACATTACAACTACTTCGCATTAACAAAGACATATTCATGAGGTGAATTCATCCCGAAAGTCTCGAAAGTGTGTATTTCCGCAAAGTAATCGGGTATTCAAGCGCAAGTGTATAATTGTACAATATCGATAATACACGTATATATTTAAAAAGGTAGAAATACGAAGATAGAAAAAGATATTTACAATCTATTTTATTCTTTGTTAATAAATTGCAAATTAATGTTCACTTTTTAAAAATAAAAATTTGTAAAGCTTCATTAATTAATGAATTATAAAACTTCATTTTAAATCAAATATCATGTACAGATAAAACTTCTTATTTACTGATATTTAATTTAATCTTCAATTTTTAATTTCTTTAGATGATAAATGTTTAATACATCTACATTTATATAATTTCTTTGTGTTATTTGAAATTCCCAAAAAATTTTACGCTTAAAACGAAATAAATATATTTGGATGAGAGAGAAAACGTAGATTTTTAGTGCAAAAAGTGCAAGTAACACGAATAGATTTATTATTTTTATTACCTTTTCTAATATTTATAGTAAATAACGCCAGTGATTATCATTTTAACTGTGATAAACGATAATCCGATAAAATTGGAAAAAAATATGACTTTCGCACTTTCGCATCTCTCTTGCGAATGTCATATCTTGCGAATGTGATCCAACGAGAGAGATCTCAAACTAGCCTTCAACCTTGATCTTGATAGAAATCCAGGTGAGACTGTCGAATTGGATCGCTGCACGTGCTTTCGATTCTTTAGAACGTGACGATCGATGCCATCGCTGCGACACATACAGAAACCGTTGCAACAATACTTGCTTGCTCGTTTGTAAAAGCATTTATTTCTAATTCCTTGATATGCCTTTCGTAAACATGTTTTTCACTACAATTTTTCTCTTTTCGGAACAGTTCGATAGTCGTCGACCGAGAATTTACAGTTTTACGTTTAAATGACTTAAATAATATATCTATATAAATTAAATAATATGTCTTTTAGAAATATACATTGTTTATCTAAATAAGTATATCCAATTTTCCATTACTTATCTAAATAAATACATCCGTTATGTATACATATAACACATCGCTCATTAACTACACAATGACATAACTAAAAAATTATAATTTTTTGGTTGCTAGCAAAAAGAATGAAAACATAAAGAAAAAAAGAAAAACATACTTTAAAAATACATACTTTTATTCTTCTATAATCAATTATTACAATTCAAAATTGCATTTCGAAATTAAAATTGGAAAATTTTAATGATTCAAAAAATTTTAATATTAAAACTTATTTTCTGGAAAATTTCTCCGACTTGTGTCGTTATTGTAACAAATAAGTAATATAATTATAATAAGTAATATAATTATAAGTAATATAATTATATATTAAATATAAATATATATTTTATTGAATAATATATCTAAAATCTGGAAAAAATGTAAACAAGAGCAGACTAATTGTGGAAGCATATCAATTAACAGGATACATTTAAATTACACGAATGTGTGTCAGACATGCACATGAGCCCACTTGTTTATTTTTTACTTTACTTAATACAGAAGAAGTGCAAAGAAAGTCGAGCAATCAAAAACAATAGCGTGCTCGTATACGGTTTTAACTCGTAACTTGCAGCACGATAGTTGAAAGTGATATTTCACTCTTTCCTTCAATTCGCCGCATGTCTAAACGAAATAGTTGAAGTTCGGTTTAGAGTAAAGCTTCTATTTCACGAAATAGAACTGCTGCACGAGCATAATTTAATTCCGCAATATTTCTACGGAAAAATAGATTTTTCTATAAATTCACTCATTTTTATAATCATGAAGCTTAATACTAATAAGATAGAAAATTAAATGGACTAATTTTTAGAAAAAAAAACATATCTATCATTATTAATTATTTATTTATAAATTTGTATCACTCTATTGTGTGAAGTGTTTAATATTTATGGAGAATTGGAAGATACCTCTTCAAAGTAATGTTCTTAAATACGATATAGGTCCAGTTCCACAGTTCATGATTATAATTCTTAACCGAAGTTCAACTTATTTTCTCGTCCTTTTCAAATTCTTAAAGAATTAATCATGAGCTGAGGAATTGAGTCCTAGTGCTCTAAGAACCCTTTTTTCACTCTGCATTTCCTATGATGAATCGTTGTCGTTGTCAAAGTCGAAAGTTACCGGCTAACTTTCACTAATAACCAAAAGAGAGGGGAAAGGAGGAGGAGAAGAGTACATCGCCACGCGGACACGGTCTCGCATGTAAACCGACCGAACGTTACGAAGCTAAAAGGCGTGCCACTTGTCTCGGTGGCCTGGTTTCGTGTCCTACTTTTGTACCGGACTGTACGTGAACGTCTTTGGACACGCTAACGTGAATGCGCTCACAATGTGAAGGAACTGATCAAGAATGTGGGCAAAGGCTTCGAGATCGATGGGAAAATCAGAATGTCTGCGATTAACCCTTTGACGTGGCACATAACATCAAAATATGATGCTTGCATCATATTTTGCATAATTATAATTAGTTTAATTATTAGTTTAATCAGTATGCAACTTGTTTCTACGGGGACATGCGTAATTACAGAAATCATAAAAAGCGAAAACGAAACTCATATATTATTGACTTTCGACCTTAAAATCCTTAAATTTAATAAGTAATCTAAAAGAAAGAATTGTGTCAAAAGATGATAGAATTATGAAATTCCGAACGTATTCCATTAACCCCTTCAGTCACTCGTATTACACTAAATTAGTACATATTAAAAGTGTTGCTTCATAAAGAATCTAAATATAATATAATCAACTTTGAATGTGAATTGAACAATGAAATAACAATATATTTTGTTATATATAAATAACGAAATGTCATTATTAGATATTTAATCGTTTAAAATATTTATATAATATTAACTTTGCTAATTTCATATATAGCAGCTTAGTATGCACTAATCGAATGTAACGCAAGTAACGAATTTACTCGAGATAACATTGTCGTAGTATAAATAAATTTTTAATGAAATAAATAACGACACGGAAATTATAACATAATGTGCTCGAAAAATTGTTACAAAAATACTTTTTAAAATACGATCATGTTTTAAAAGACAGGGTCTTTTACAATTTCAGCAATTAACACTTTCCAGCGAGATTCGTATCATCAAGTCCCCTTTGAATTCCTCGTAGTCGTTCGATTAAATGGAGTGTCCGCGAGTGTAAAGTGAGAGCTTTAACAATTCGCGAACAAATTTTACCACATTCAATTGCAACTTGAAAAAGCGTGTGAAATAAAAAGAGCACATCCAGGGATCTTTTTGGATTTTTAATAGAACTACTGACGAGACGAACTTCAAAGTGAAATCATGAGGAACGTGACAAAATGATATGGCGCCAGATTAAGAAAGATTCATGACGACGTCGTGAACATGTTTAGCGAACGACAGTGAATCGCATGATCATCGCTGACGGCCGAAGAGAGAAATGACTGTTCTCAAAGCCGGAGCGCTTATCTCGCTACTTCTGATCGCCGATACAAGCTGTCTCGCTAACAAAAGAAGGAACAACCGATTTCTGAGAAAGTTTGGTAAATAGATATAATAATATAATATTTTTCGATATCGTTAAAAATGATCCTTTACTATAGGAGAAAAATTTGATTGTACTTTTTTTTTAGGTCAACCAGAGAAAGAAGAAAATATCGAAAATGCAATCGATTCGCTCGGACAGATGAGATTTTTCGATGAACTTGAATGTAAGTTGTATTATATTATATTATATTAAAAATATTATATTCAGCTTATATTATAATATATTAAAAATAAACAGAGATTAAAATGAATTTTAAAGATTACTTTTAAAAAATTCACTTAAAATTAATTAATTTTTCATGATTTCGTCGAAAGAATCTCTACTTTCTGTCTTTATGATTACATGATTTAAACAATAATACAATTCAAGTATCTACGTTTAATTGTCATGTGTCATCAGATAATATCTCTACATCAAACGCTGAATAATGCTGACATTTTGATATCTATTATCCCCTTAAAACAATTTCAGTTAACAATTGAATAGCATGTGATAAGGATGATTCAGCTATGTGAACGTAATTGTATGGAATGGTAAGATCTCGATGAAATGATAGATATCGAAAGAAAAGATTTTAAGATGACAAACCGGTTAGCCGGATATACTTATACAATCAAAGCAATATATCTTTATCTGTTCTAAACAATTTGATTTCAAAGTCATTGCATGTATTATAGTAATTATAAACAAATTAATTTAAAATAAAGTGTAAATTCAGTAAATCATTTCTCTTTGATGGATAGACAGGAATGAGAAAGTTTACTTTATAAAAATAACTAATTACAGTTATATTCTTTTTTACAAAATAATTAGTTACTGTTATAAATTACCGATTCTGAAGTTACAGTTACAGTTAGTTAAAAAGTAATGAATCGTTTTTCACAACTCGTTAAAATTTATCTGAAAAACGTTTCCGAGTTATTTTACTTTGGGGTCATCTTCAAGATAAAATTCAAATGAATTATTAATTTTAAAGTATGTTTGTGTAGTAATTTGTGCTGTAGTAATTTGATTACCGCGCTATAGTTCTCAGTAGCCCTAATTAAATATTTATTGTTGCAAGAATATTTTTAAAGACAAATTTTTAAAAAATTAGAAAAAGAATTCTATTAGAACAATATTTTTTTCAATATATAATTATATTATACAACGAATGAATTATAGAACGATATTTTGTTCAATATACATATAACTATTTATTTAATGCAACTATCACAACTATTCTCAACAAAAAAATATTGCGATTATAATAATTTTCCATAAATGTGAGCAAAGCACGAAAGATTTACAACCGAGTTAACAAGAAAGACGAAATCGGAATCATACTTGAAAGGCCACTTACCGACGCTTACTTTCTACAAGAATATTTATAATGAAGCGCACGGAAGCTCAGTTTTCACTGCGACCTCAGCGCACCTCTTCTCTATTGTTATGAGTGTTTGGAGATGATATCTTTCCTTTTATAAAAAACGATACTTAATCCTTCTGACTTCCTAATTGAATTATGGAATTACACGAGTAAAGTTTCCGAATTTTAATTCGATTTAATTCAATCTTTGATAAGAAATTTAGCAGCACAATTTAAATTCTACTTAATTTTTATTAAAAATAAAGATTCGCATTCATGAAAGATATTAATCTGAATATTAATCACTATTTACTCTTTTTTAAGTAAATTTAATAAGATACTCCATGAATACTTCGAATCGATCTAGATTTTATTTATCAAAGTAAAACCGTTGTCAGTGAAGCGATAAAATTGGGTCACGAAATCTTCATCATAGCGCTGATTTTTCGAAATCATATTCTCTTATATTTTATTTATAATAAAACTCTTATGCTATAGAATTTTTTTTATTTTTAATAAGTCTGTGTTTACTAAAACTTAATGAGAACTATCAAAAAAATCTTAATGAAGAAATTAAATCAACAAAATAACAGTGAGAAGTTTATATAAATAATATTATAATAAAAATTTATAATTTCTTTTGAAACATAATTCTTTTGAAACACAATCCGAATTTGAATATATAGCAATAGAGTGATAAAACAAAATAACTTAAACAATTCAACACACAAAGAATATAGTATAGAAATAATTATCTTGGTTTTCCGTCTTCACGAGGCGACTGGACCGAATCTTGACAAAATTTTCCAGCTATTCAGAGTACGATAATTTCACGGCGACATAATAATTCAACGAAGAAAGAAATGGAAAATAAGACACAACACGACGATATGTTCTGGTAAAGGTGGGGAACCAATGTGAGACCAAGGGATAACGCTGTTGCGGGAAAGCTGATGCCGGTGAAAGCAGTGGATGCCTTCTTAGATCGAGACTCGTGAGACATCGGTTTAAGCCAGTCCACGTGCAGAAGGTGTATCGTCACAGTTTCTTACCGTCACTCCGGTGAAGTATCATAAGATGCCTTCAACCTTTGACATTGTCTCTTGATAGTATACGCGTCAGCGGTTTTCAAGAGGAGGCTGCGTCTGCTATCACCTTCTGTAGAAAATTTTCCACGATAAATCGAAACTATTGCAAGAGAAAATAGTGATATCAAAATGGTGGTGCTTACACAGTGCTTTGGGATTTCAAAGTTGTTCGAAATACCGTGACCCTCGCGAAAGCCTTCAACGAAGTGAGAGAAATTGTGAAAGAAATTCGATCATGAATTACATTTACCACGTTCAAGATTAAGGATTTGCAATCCAGGATTAATCAGTAACCAAATCTAATCAAGTGCATTCTAAGATTTTGTTCAAAGTTGAAAGTTTATTGTTCACATGAGAAAAGAACAAGAAGTTAGCTTTTCAAAGAAATTAATGGTGTGCCAATTAATTCCTCAATTGTTTTTGCAAGTGAAATTTCAACTAGTCGAATCTCGTAAGAGAAACTTGACTTACAGCTTCCAACTAAGTCAAGTTTCTCTTCCAATAATTTCGGAGAAATTAGTCTTCAATTGTGAGATCTCTATACTGTTCTTCATCGATCGTAGTTAATGGAGAAGGAAATGGATCGTTCGTAAATTATCCTCACTGTAGTGCGCCCCTTATAACTTTCAAGTGTGTGCAGTGAGATCACGATGATGCGCAAGGTATCCTCGAAGTGACAAGCGGAAGTTAAAGTCGATCATGAAGATCGTGCTTGGAGTGTTTCTGATCACCGTGGCGAGTGCTTTCGATCACCATGACACTTATTCATGGAAACACAGAGAGGATTGTAAAATTGCAACTGCAAGCCGATCGATCATACCGATCAAAGTTAAAGAATCTCGTCTACAGCGGTCCGATGTATATCCATCGAGAAGGTTAAATCGGCGCGAGGACAATGTTCTTCAAAACTCACCGAGAAGATTCGCGATGGCCGACGATTCGAATGAGCCTCACGATCTCTGGAAACCCGAAGCTTCCAGAATGAGACAAGATCTCACGCGTGAAAATCGAGCCATTGAGAGCAACCTGAAAAACGTGATAGGCATACCGTCCAAGGTCGAACAATATCAGTACTTTTCGAATTTTCCGTACGGCGGTGATGGAACCACTGACGCCATATTGGAGAACACGGATCACCCAAAGAATTCTATGTTCTCTGAAGATATTCAAGATCATTTTTTGAATCATAATACAGAAGAGATGGATTGGAGCGGGCAGGAAGTATTCGAAAAGGACCTGCAAAACGATGAGAAAGAGGAAATAAATATTCAAGAAGTATTGAATGAAATCAAACGAAAGAGATTAAATGGAGTGCATGACGAAATGGTAGACGGACATCGACAGGGCAAAGGGAGGAAGTTGACCAGTCAGCAGCAAGGTGCCTTGCTAGTGGAGACACTCAGGAAGAAGCGAAACTACACCAATGATCATCGAGGACATAACTCCAATCTCCAGAGCGGTCTTATGGAGATGTTGGGTAGAAGTATGTAGGACTTAAAATGGGACAAAAATAGGATGTAAAAAAAATTAGAAGTGCTGTTAACTAAATAAAATATATCCTGAAAGTGAATTTCGTAAATTGTTGAAAGATATAAGACCATAAATTATGAATCAAATAAACTATTTGATTGAATGAATAAGTAAAAAGAATATAGGGAGACAGATAATATTTTGTATCTACTTTCAAGAGTTTGTAAAATGAGATACTGGAATATCACAGATTTTCTAGTATTGACAAAATATGTTATCACAATAAATTATTAATGCAATTGGACATATTAAAACAACAGAATTCATTTCATAACAATTAATATTGGATCTTCAAAAGAAGACGCGCTAAATGCGAAAGAGTGTATTTATTTAGAGCAATTAAAATTACAATCGCGTGATAATAAATAAACAAATACATCGATATCACAACAGACATTCATTTTATGTTTTTTTATTGCAAAACAAATTCTTGACTAAATTATTTTTTAGTCAAAATTCCTACTTATTAATCGTTTCTCATCTATTCATATTAAAATAATCCATTAATAATAAATTAACAATTTAATATTACTATTAAAGTAATCGGTAAACGTGCGACAATCTATATACGTAGATATTAATTGATATGTGGAATTTATTTCAGTGATACCGCAAACGTGCAAGTACAAAGGTGCGAGATTTGAGTGCGGCCTCAGCCTTAGCTGCGTTTTTAATGGTGGTCGACCACTCGATTTATGTTCCGGAGGTTTAATATGGAGCTGCTGCGTGGACGACCAAGATATACCCGAAAAAGTACCGCGACCGACTGTGGGTCTGTTACAGAATGCCAGTAAGTTTTCTCGCACTAAAGTAAAACTATATATATTCCAAATATATATATAATATGTATATTAAAATATGCGTGGATCTAGTCTGTAAAGTTAGCACGACACTCTTAATATATAAAATATAATGCCAGTAGCAGTTTTTTCTTTATAAAAATAAAAAAGATTTCTGCACTAAAAAAACCAAAATTGAAAATATGGTGTGCTAATTTTTTATAAAAATTTAGTAAAAAATTTTTTAAAAAAATGTGGAATCTTTTATTTTTATGTAGAACTATGAAAAATGCTATTGGAACTGTCATTCTTTTTTATTAATTTAGGATATCGTGCTAACTTCATAGATCCATATGTCAAGTTTAATTAATGTAATTTATTAATATTTTATTTAAAAAAATTTTTCTCTAATAACTTTGTAAGTTAATGTAGAAGATCTTACTTCTGTAAAAATGTTTTATTTTTTGAAACACTTTAATTATATTAATCTAAACGTATACTCGCGTACTATATTCAAGCAAACAATAGGGTTAATCCACTATTTAAGGATGGAGGAGACAATGAAAATACATCGTATGTTTTTCTCAAGGAAGAAAGAGTTTTTAATTCAACGATGTGTGTCTCTCAATTAACTCGTGAAGTCCTTTTATCTATCGTCATGCCGCTGTAAATTTGCGACATCCTGAAAGAAGGTTCGTGTTCTCCAATGTCACTAAACTGAGTTTCTGTACCGAAACTTCGAGATTATATCGCGCTGTTAGCGTCATTTGCTCGAGAGGAATTTCCGTAAACGCTTTTAAATTTTATGATCAAACAGTCAAATCTCGTGACGATTACGATAAAATAACGCATTCGATGTATACTCTCTGCATGCAGTATAAGAGAGATTCGAATCATATTTAGTGAAGAAGCGCAAAGAGAACTCAAATGATACTAAAAGAGTAGGAGATGTAACGTTACTTTTTTAAATTAACGTTAGGGATTAAGATGAGATTAGATCGCGAGAAGGTTGAGAATCGTGAACTGAAAGGAGACACCGGCTGGAAATAACCTGATTTCTATCCGACATCCGAAATTACACAACCAACAGCGTCCAGCTAGTATGTCGCTCGCGTACCAACGATGCGACAGTACGGCCAGCACTTTCAAATACAGTTATTCACACCTAGTTTACGCGACGGCATCGCGTTGCACGCCCGGAGAACTTTACGCGAGCGTGCTTTCAGCAAGTCGCTTACCGTAACCGCGTAACTATCAATACAATGGCACAAATAGAAACAGGCGAAGAAACGATGTCACCGAACAAGACAATTATAAATTGTATTATATTTTCTTATGACATTTTTATTCTTTTACATTTGTTTTCATCTTTCTTTCTCTCTTTCTCATTATATATTATATTATACGTATATTCCTTACCTCATTATATATTTTACAGTACATGGTTTTGTCTAAGTACCGATCACGTAACTTTTTCCTTAAGGCGGAAACATAAAAAGTGAAAAATTTCTCCATTAACTTCAATGATAAAAATTTTCACTTTTCACATTTCCGTCCTAGAGACAAAATTACATAATGAATACTCCGATTGTGTTTCCTGGTTGCAATGAACAATTAGAGAAAATAATGAAAGTGAAGAAAAATATTACTATTATTATAATATTATTAGTATCATAATAATTTTCTATAGGTATTTATTTCTCGAATAAATTTATTCTAAATTGACTAAATTGAATTTATTCTAAATTCTTTAATTCTTTAACTGCAGTGATCAAAATATCAGCTAATAATAAAGCATAATTATAATAATCATAATGTTATCGGACTTAAGACTGTAATTTCGACTAAAAGTATCAACCAAAGAATCAGATAAAAATATCAATAATTAAACAGTTAAATTAGCTCCAAAATTGCTATGAATATGTTCTGAAATCATAATGCAAAAAATAAAACAATAAATAATTTCGCCTACAATGGCTTTATGGAGCGAAATGACTATATTTTGTAGTTTTAAGTGAATAATTTTTGAACGTAAGTAAATCCAAATAAATTTTTATTAATGTACATAGTACATTTTATTAATATATACATAAAAAATTTGATTAATTCGTACTTCTACTTTATCAAATTTGCAAATAAGTATTATAAAGTATTATAAAACGTGATTTTACAAAGAATCAAAGCAAACAAAACATTAAATAACTTTAAACCAAATTTTTCAAAGATAAAATTTTATACAGATACTTAAACGTATAATAAAATAATATGAATTTTTTATATTTTTGGTAATGTTTTGAAATATGACGTATACATTCTTAAATTTGGCCGCACAGCCACAACGCGAGTGATTCCGAATAGCTAATAGCGACATCGTTACATTGCCCAGCGTTTACCCTAAATCTCGGGCACCAACAGCCACACGTGGATGACGACGTGCACATTTACGGCAGCGCGATTAGGCCTAATAGGCCCTCGCACAGCCAAGAGACCCATCGGCCCACGTATATGGATGGTGTCAGTAATCCAACCAACCATTACGATTCATCTTACGCGATTTGGAATCATAATCGGCCGAACGATCTCGCAGTCGGCCATGACCGACCGACGTTCACCACTCGTCCGTATCACACAGTTCAGGATTATCCACAGGACGAGTACAACAGCGGTTATCCGCCCGCCGCTTCTAGTGACCCAATCGAGGACTCGTCCAATGCCATGGACTACTCCAGATACCGTGGTAATCGCATGAGAATGATAGATTATTGCACCGAGTGTCGCATGATATGTGTCAAGCGCACGAGTCGGAGGACTCACTGAAAACCTCGGTGAGTTCAGATTCCAAAGATTACAGACACGCAAGAATCCTGCCGTGTCTCTGTAGTATGGGAAATTGAGCTCACCTCGAAATTGTATTCCTTACGGTTAAAATTTATATCGTTTCGACTGTCGACCTTCTACCTTGTCAACCTTATGCTTTTTATGTTTATTACTATCAATTTTATTTGCAATATTGAGAACTGGCGAATCTCTTAAATGCTAAACTATTGATAACTTAATTATTGATTTGAATGTACTCGTTCAATGTTGACTATTGCGATCGATTGAAAAGACACCAATTTATTCTAATCATCTGGATTATATTATAAGTGTGTGACCAACAAATATCAACAGATAATTATTAATCTTCATATCAGATATCAGATTTAATTTATTCATGTCGAGAATGAAAGTGCTGATTTTAAAAAATATAAAGAATTACAGTTTCGATGGAAATCAGTATGAAATATACGAGACGAACTGGACGAATTTCATAAGATGAATGACGAGACGATACAAAATATTTATTATTAAATATACCGGTTAATAATAATAAAATTGATCTACAGTATCCCCAATAACGGAGACAGTATTTAAACATGCATACAATGTTTCGCATGGAAACCGCACAAATATGCTTTCATCATCACATCGCACATTTTTTTGCACAAAGTATTGCCGGAAAACAATTGAGAAATTGAATTTGAAGAAAAAAAATGAGAGAATACTAAAATAAAAATGGTTGGCCGAGAACGAGAGATAAAACAGAAAAAAATGAAAAACAAAAAGGATAAAAGAAGAACTGGATAATTATATGAAGCAATATGGAACAAAGAAGAAAATTATATTTTAATCGTCCTCTTTTCTTTTAAGCATTGAAATACAAGATAGGAATATGAGACAGAATATTTTAGAATATCAAAATTGGTCTTAATTTTACAACGAAAATGTATAATTTTTAATCGTATAGCTATGTATTATATGTATATAAATTAATTTGTTTCTTTTATGTTAATTAATTCTATAAGTCGTATAAGAAGAATTTATTTGCCATAGATAACTTCATATAATTAATTATTACTATGCATATAATATTCGTAATATTATTTAATTTACTACAATAATACTACAATAACTACAATAATTAAGTAGTAATTTTATTTACTACCCAATGTATATATTAGATTACACGTTAAATATAAAAATGAAATTAAAAATTTAATGTAAAATGATTAATTTCACGTGTGTAATTATGTAATGAACACCTCATATTCATATCTTCTCCTATCTTAAGCAAAATCACTAAGAAAGTTTCGCAACGATTAATTGTAGATAATGTATCTCTATAATCTGCGGTAATAAACAGAGTTCCTAAAGTCGCGCAAACTTTCTACACTGTGTACCATGTCTATTTTCTGCTTTCAGTCTTTCACTAAAGCGCGAAGAATCTTAAAGTAGACACTTAGGTACCAGTTTAATTGCAGATTATTATAGAAAGTATCAGTTAATAAATTTTTAATGTGAGCTTCTTCTGCATCGCAGTTTTATTTTCTCCTCTATGACACGCACAAACATTATCTCTTCGGTCATGTATTGATCCCCAAATCACTTTTGCATCATCACGTGTTATCGTATGTTATCACCAACACATCGAACATTTTCACTTGAACGCGTAGATGAGATCTTGCAATAGCTAACATAGATGATATTTCAGGCTGTGGCGAGCTCTATACGAGGAGCAATAGGATCGTAGGTGGACACTCATCTAGTTTCGGTAGCCATCCGTGGCAGGTAAGATCCTTCTTGTACAATTTTCTCCTCTCCTCTCCTTAATTATAAACATATCTCTCGAGTGACACACTCTTCCTTTCTGCATTATTCATTGGGAACGAGCCATCAATTTGCTCGGTTCGCCTAGCGCGGAGAGGGAGGAAAATAATCTATTAAATCTTCTCTAAAGGCCGCGAGCCGTGACGCGGACTCGGATACATATTTCATGTAACGCGATTGTAAATAGATCTCTAAATATTCTCTTTGTTGCAGGCCGCTATTCTTAAGTCAGGATTCTTACAAAGTAAGAAGCTGTCTTGCGGCGGCGCCTTGCTGAACAATCGATGGGTGGTCACAGCGGCACACTGCGTCGCGACGTTAGTATTGGCAATTATTATCAACAGTTTAGTACAATAGAAATATATTGATATATGCATGTCAATTTTTATGTCAGAACACCAAATAGCAATTTGAAAGTTCGACTCGGGGAATGGGACGTTCGAGACCAATCGGAACGGCTTGTCCATGAAGAATTTAATATCGAGAGAAAAGAGGTTTTTCCTTTAAATATTAATACTTTTAATACTTTTTATTGATTCAACAGTATTATATCCAAGAATTCCGCGTTGCAACGTAATATTAAAAAATAAATTTCAAAATACACACTCACTTATTTTATCATGCATATCTTTAATCAATAAAGCATGATAACTTAATAATAATAATTACGCTAAAATAACAACAGATACATCCGCAATATTCTCCTACCGACTTTCGAAATGATGTGGCTTTGGTGAAGCTGTCCCGGATAGTAGCTTTCAAACAGCACATCGTCCCGGTTTGCCTGCCGGCGAGGAATTTGAAGCTCTCCGGCCGAACCGCAACTGTCGCTGGTTGGGGACGAACCAGACATGGTCAAACTTCGGCGCCATCCGTTCTTCAAGAAGTCGACGTTGAGGTAAGTGCACTATCGACCAACGTACTCATCTTTGATGATAACTTGTACTCGTCTTTTCAGCCAAAATATGCGCAATAAAAATAATATGCAATGTACCATACAATACAATTCTGTAAATTGTTTTTGCGACTATTTTATATTAATTTGTTTCTTTTATGTTAATTAATTCTATATAAGTCGTATAAGAAGAATTTATTTGCCATAGATAAATTCATATTAATTAATTATTACTATGCATATAATATTCGTAATATTATTTAACTACACAATAAATAATTTTCCTAATTATATATATGGGTGTGTGTGTGTGTGTGTGTGTGTGTATGTATGTATTTTTATTTAGGTAATACCGAACGATAAATGTCAGAAGTGGTTCAGAGCAGCCGGAAGAAGAGAAACCATACATGACGTATTTCTCTGTGCGGGATATAGACAAGGCGGACGAGATTCTTGTCAGGTAATCAATCAAAATAGAATATTCCAAGAAATATTCGATTAATTCACTATTAGCTAAACACAAGTGCAACTAGGACACTGTTTACAATTTGACTTGTAATAGGGTGATTCTGGCGGACCGCTCACAATGTCGGTGGAAGGCAGACACGTTCTGATCGGTTTGGTTTCCTGGGGCATCGGTTGCGGTCGCGAACACCTACCCGGTGTGTACACCAATATCCAGAAATTCGTGCCCTGGATCGATAAAGTTATGAGCTAAAGCGGAGAAACTTCAATCCTTTGAAGGACGAATTGTTTTACCCGAAAAAAGAAAGAAGGAGCACATAAAGAAGAAAGAGGTGAATAAAGACGTGAAGTTACCAAAGCTCTTATCATCCTTTTAAAGACTTTTACAATCGTGCTCGATTATGAAGAATTAGGCACTCTTTTTCGAAAGTGCCAAAAAAAACATAATGGTTTTTAAAGCGTTGTTATATGAAGATCATTAAGTATATCCGAAACTAGGAATAAAAAAGTAATCAAAAATTACAATTGATGTATTATATTCCAATGATTAATTAGCAACGTGAAGTTCTTGAGATGCTAATTAGTAGTAATAAGTGAAGATATTTAATATATAAACATCATTTAAGCTTATAAGCTTTATTGTTGTTACTCGTATTAAATAACTTATTGTCATACATACATATATATTAAAACGAAAAGATGTTTCCAAATTCAGAAGAATTCGTCTTATTAACTCTTACCGTATGAGTAACTAATGACCGAACGATTCTTGTTCGTGCAAGTTTCTCGCAAGCTCAGTTAACTCGGCGCTTGTTATTGTTGCGTAAAAAAAATTCGTGATGGGGGGGACCTGTGCGCGACCCCGGCTGTCAATCTGCCTGTAACTGGCGTGCAGTTCAAGTTGATGTGAGACATTAGTAACTCTTGTGAGTGAGTACGATGTTAATTTTTTGTGAAAATAAAAATTGTGTCAAAATCATTATAAGTATTCTATTTTCACTCTAAATCAATATCTGAATGTTTATTTTCATTAAAAAAATTTCTTTCTAAAAAAATTATTTATTTGTGAGCAACATCATACTTACATATGTATAGATTGCAAAACGTAAAACTTTTCTTTTACATATTTATTTAAATATGTTTTTCATTTTATATTTCTTTTCATTAAAAAAAACATTATATTATACACAAAATAAAAAAATGCGTTTTAATTCGATTTTTTCTATATGTCCTTTCTGAAGATTAGTCATATTCATGTGTTTAAATAATTCAACTTTTCGTAGAATTCGAAGTTCTAGTATTTTTTTTTTTTTTTTTCATAACTTCACAATACAAAACTCTGCAGTCATTTTTTTATATTCATTTATTATGAAAAGTTATAATTTTTTAAAATCAAATGCCATTTTTTTCCCAGCTTATGAGTCTTTCGGTAATTATAGATTATCCTACATTTTATTATTTATTTAAAATGAAGAGTCAATATTTATTCTAGAAAGTTGAAAGTATGTTGGTAAATTTTTAGAGATTTTTTATAATTATTTTGAAGAGGTGAAAAATCGAAGAGATTTTAGTGATCCCTGATAGTATGAATGAGACACCAAATTATACATAATACGGTAAGGATTAATACGGTAAATTATTGACATAATTTTTTTATTAATATTAATTTATGTTACATAAAGTTTTAAGAATTCAGGAAATAATAAGTATTTTGAATGTATTTAAAAAATTTATTTTGACTCAAAATATAAGATTTATGAAATCTATTATTTTCGTTTTTGATGTTCAGTTGTATCTTCTTACATTCGAGATATTTCAAAATATGAGGAATATTTTCTTATCATTTGTCAATAGAAACTTATTGGGATTCACAAAATAGCTTTGCATCATCTATAACATAAGCAGTATTTCGCGCCCAGATCGCAATTTCTTCTGAAGAGATTGCAAAATACATTCCATTTGAAATGCTTATCTACGTCTCTTCCATTTATATTTGAAAATTCATCTACCTTTGTGTTATCTGGTTATCTAGCTCAATAAGCTCTATGTTAAAAATATGAGTCTCTATCGATCACTCTTCATATCCATTTCAACGTTTATTTTTTATCGACAGGAATGCATAGTTGGATTATCTGCTTCAAGCATGCATTCTGCGATTAAATGTGAAATAAAAGAATCATAATAGAAAAGATGACTCTTTGAGAATATTAGAAAATGGCGATTGCAAGGTGATTGCAAGGAGCAAATTTCTTGGGAAAAATAATATTCTTATCTACCTTAAGTAATATTTACTAATCATACCTGAACATTATAAAATAAAAAATATTAAAAAATATGAGATATATTAAAAATCATTAAAAAAGGTACAATCAATAAAATTAAAATTGCTCCAAACAGAAAAATATGTTTGTGTTATGCATTAAAATTTCATATTTATATTTATATTTTTATTTTTTAAATGGAGGGGGGGAAAACAAAAAAATAGATACTTTCATTTGAGTTAAAACAGAATTATTCTTTAATGAAAACTTGAAAATACAATACCTGAAAAAAAAATCTTAATTTCAAAGAAATATTTCTTTGCTCGTATTAAAAAAATGTATTTCTTTGGATCAATGAGAATTTCTTATTATACAATATCTTATTTTCATAAAAATTTTCATTAATCCAAAGAAATAACTTTTTGTATACAAAGAAATAGTTCTTTAAAATTAAGACTTTTTTCAGCGTACATATCATTTTTAGGTTGAGTTAGATAATAAATTAATACAATGAAAATTTAGCGCCAGTAATTGATCAAATCTTTTACACAAATAATATATGTGCATCATTTGGTTTTTTCTTAATTTATAACAGATTTTTTTCAAGCAGTGCGTCGATAATTGATATCCTTTTTTAAAATTTCTTTTTAAGTAGATTATATGAAAAAGTTAAAAACAACAATAAAACATAGGAAAAAAGATATGTAGAAAATCTTGTTTGCAATAAATTTTTTAGTATTGATACCTTTATATCGATTTTTCAACAAATTTAACAAATAAACTCTTCTTTTATTGTAACAAACATAGTTCATGCATTTGCTATTATTAATTTATGATAAACTTTTCGATTTATTTTAATATTTTTCAAAGATTTGTAGAAGAAATTTATATTTACAACAAATATAACAGTTTCCTTCAATTTCTCGTGATTATGGATACATGTATGTAAACGTGTTTTTCGTTTCAACGTCGATAAATTACCTTCTGTTATCGACCATCTACAAAAATGAATACCATCTATCCATTTGCCCGTAAATTCTCAGGATAACTCGAAAGTTTCAATATGCGCCTCCGATAATATAAAGAAATATTATATACATGTGCTAAGATATTTTTAAAGAAATATAATTGAAAAAGACTTTCGATATAATTTTATAAAAATTTCAAAGTCAATTTGCAATTTAATTAATCTCGTTTCAAATTATCATTAATGTTTTTAATCTCTTTGAATGCGTATTTTTCAATATTTAATTATATTTCATAAATTATACTAAAACATTTCATTAATTAAAAAAATAAAAAAAAGTAGAAGAGAAGTTGGCACTTTTGAGATTAATCGGCAGACAAAAAAAAAGAAATGTATTTTAACTCTTTCATTTTAGGATCCAAACTGTATTTATCCGCTCCTGTTCTCGACAGAAGCAGGAAGAGAACGGGATTGGTCACAGAGAATGCGCGAGAAGCGCATCTACCCCGATGCAAGAAGGGGGGAAGTGGAAAGAGGGAGAAAGCGAGAGCAATGGTGGAGGGTAAGTTGCTAATTAGAGCCAGATTAAACGCTTGTCTGGGGAGCCATTTTCCTTGCCGTTCCTCACCGTAGCCGAAGGAGGATGAGCGGCGTAGAGAGACGATGAGGGAGGGGGAGGGGCAGGAAAAATGGGGGGACTTGCGGGGGCAGCTGAGGCTGCGAGAAGCGAGGGAGGGATGGCGGCGAAAGGACGACGAAACGCCGACGCCGGCGGGAGAGGCGGGCTTAATGAAAAGTGTTTGCCCCGTAAAAGTTAAGATTAATTGGCGCTCGGGGGGTGGTTACCGCAATAATCAGCCCGAACCAGTGGTTTTCAAACCCTCTCCAGCTGCCCTGCCGATTGCATTCTCCTTCGGGCCGCGATCGAATACGTTAGCCACAAGCAAAAGTTCCTCCCAAACTGTTCGTCGTGTTACATCGTATCGCGCGAAAACATTTATACTTTTTAATACTGTTCCGTATCTCTCAAGAGAATGAAAAGTGCAGTAAAACTTCGCCGATGTAAACATCTCGCTCTCGAATTCAAGCACAATCTCGAAAAATGAAGTCTGAAAGAATCTAAGTAATTGCAGAAAATCATTTCGAAACCAAATAGATTTCCTCCAATTATGAAACTCATGTTATCATGGATCTGAAATACTACAACGCGATAAAAATTGTGAGAGAAAGAGCAAGATTTTTCAATGATTAAAATTTTATTTTTATGAACTATTCTTCTATCACGAATTCTCGACAATTATAATATTCAATCAAATGATCATTTATAAAATATAATAAATATAATTAAATTTGAGAATTTAAGATCTGTCTATATGAGCTTTAAAATGAGATTATTGTTTAATTTTGATAATATCACAATTGTTTTTTATTATTTTAATTATTATAGTCCGTATTTATCTCTCACTTTTTTATCTATAAATGCGAGCATTATTTATTTCTAAGATATGTACATTATATGTTATACGTAATTATATAAGATAAATATGAATACTTAATGTTTTACATTTCTCTTGTATTTATACACAATACATATCAATTATTATTGAAAATAATTAAGATAAAAGTCTCAAAAAGTATCACTTTAAAATCTTGGAAGTCTTCTCTTATCATATTTTGCAAATTATATATGAAAAGTCTGTCAAAAATAATCTGCAAAGCAGCAGTCTATTATCGGCGATAATCATACGGCAACATAATTAGAGAAATTTAATTACGCCTTTCCGAGCAACGCTTTCGTTCACGGTTGAGCACAGCTGGAATGGGAGGTTAATTTGGCGACACCTAGTTTCATTAACAACGCCATTAAAAGTAATGGCCGGTGAGGGGGCGAAGTCGGTCGCGAAGCCTCCTAGGGGGCTGGGAGATTCTAATTACGGAATAGGACTTCCCTGGTGGAGTACGTAAGGCGGTGGGTAGGGAACGGAGAGGAGGTCAAACGCCGGATAAGGAAGGATGGGCCATCGAGTCGAAAGACGCCATGATATTCGTTAAACGGCATAATTGCACCCTCCGGAACGGAGCT